CTACTTTGCTTAATTTACCAAGCTCTTTGTTGACATTTACCCCATCCCTTGATTCTGTTGTGTCATAAATTGTTAAAAGGACTTTCCCTGAGTCCTCAACTGTATTTACAAGGCCTACTAAATCTTTATCTATGATCATGTCTTCAAATTTCTTTACAATTTCTTCATCAAATGCAGCTTCCTGGTCAGCTGGTTTGATACCACGGAGACCGCAATGGAGACCTATAACTGGGAGATTATGGAATTTGGTGAGTAATTCCTTTATCACTGAAACCGGGAACACTTCTCTGTGTCCGTAATCAACAGCCTGCACTTCACACCTGTTGCCCCCATGCAATTGCTTTATGGTGCCTCTATACCATCTTTTATCTTCTGAGAATTTTGCACAACAGAATTGGCCAACATTCATGTTTACCAGATTGAGACTGTCATGTTGGCTTGAGCTATAAAATTGCTGCAATTCATCATCCATCTGCCTGAAACTCTCCCTATACTGAATTGGTTGGCAGTAGAAGCTATCCAAGCTATCTGTGTGTGAAAGGCACAAATCATAATGAGAACCAGCTTTAAGATGTACCTCTCCTGGTCCACCTGGTTTAGCAGTGACGGACAGTGAAGCGCTAACTGAGCTGGAGGTGCTAGAGCTTGACTGGCTTAATGAGGACTTCACTTTTTTCCAGTGGGCAAAACCAGCAATCACAAGTTGTTTGGCAACCACAACTGATTTCTCAACATCTCCAAAAAGCTTTATCACTACAGCTCCTGTTTTACACAAATGGGTTGGGACCCCAACAAGCTCTCTGTCCAGTACCAACTCCCTCAAAAGCTTTATTGCCTTCTTGCTCCAAATTCCCCCAACTGGGTCTATGTTTGCCAGACGACATTGAATTGCCTGTGGAGGCAGCTCTCTGAATTCTTCTGGGATCACTCTTAATGCTTTCCAAGGCAATACCTCACCGTTTCCATAATCGATAAAAATAAGTTCTGCGTTATCTTCTTCATCTATGCTCAAAATTTGCCCCCTGTACCACAGCTCGTCCTCGGTGAACTGCGCAACACACAGCTCACCAATTCCAGGAACTGAGCTGAAGCATGGAAGCTTGCCTGCCGCAATTGCCGATTCCATCTCCTGGCTGAGCCGTTCATATTTCACTGATATTGAACTGTCGCTTTGCTGCAAGTAAAAGAAACCACTGTTGTCTTCAATATGTGTCACATACCATTTACTTTCTTTTCCAAAATTTAGGCCAGTCGGGCCTAAACGACTCGTTGTCAATGCACCGGGAATCATGTTTAATCTTGAAGGAAAGAAAACATCTCTTGCTGAAAATTATCAAATGTTAATTTTCCCTTGACTCCAATCAGTTCTCTTAAAATTTGTTGGCATTAGATGGACAAAATGCAACCTGACTTGCAGGCCATGTCCACAAACCCACTCGCTGCACGAGGACTAGAAGGTGACTGCGCATGTCAGTTTGATGCACGCTTAGAGTAGCCGCTGGTCATGAGATCCGACAAGCTTGTTTCTCTATCTCATTTGAGACACCAGATTCTCCAGGGTGTGTCCTTGTGTGTGTAATTACGCGCAATTTTCCCACTCATAAAAAGATACTAAATAAAGATTTTACGAAAAAGAGCACACCGCATTCTTTGACTTTCTTTGCATGTTATGCGAGCCGAGGAGCTGTTTTAATTTTATCAATTGCACTTTGTGATTTGCCAGAATTCTGAACAATGTCCAACTATGCAAAAAGTTCTGGCTTTTTATTAAAAAGTGTTATGAACAGATGTATGTAATATTTTCTGTTCTACCGAGTCGTTTGCCATTAGGCAAATTCCTCACTCTCCCACAATTGAAATAAACTAATATTACAAATTAGGCTAATGGGAAGAGCGGAAACGTGAAAGCAAATTTATTAACTGGCCAAGTGCAATGCTGACAAATGGGAGAAAAGGAGGGCTAAAGCTGTAAAAGACATTAAGGGATTTCGAAATAAAGTGCCTAATCATCCTCATTAAATAATTTGTTAATAATCGAGCCAGAGAAAACAGAATAATTCTACAGCTTCGATTAACCGTTATTCCTATCTGTTTTTTTTCACAATAAATTCATAAAAAGGCCCCAGATTTCATTGGACTTAAAATTCTCTCCTAATTTGAACAAAATGGAGAAAAAGTGAGTATTTTCATTTCAATTTAATTTTTTCATTTTCTTGGCATTGTTAAAATCAATATAGAAATATGCTGAATAAACTGGAAACAATGCATGCACGAAGGTAAGAAAGGATTTCAAGAAATGTTTAGATTAATTTTCGAACCTAAACTAAAAAAATTTCCCACGTCTTGTCTGCAATGACCCAAAAAGCCACTGACTCTTTCCAAAATCAAAGTTTCTCACTTGCTTTTCTAGCTAACAATTTTTTTATTACCTGCTAAGCATTACGCGAGTGTGCGCGGGACCGATCTCTCCCCAATGGAAATAAAATCTTTTCTGCTTCTTTGCCGCCATGTTTTTGTCAAAGATTATCATAAGAACAAGAACAAAAGTATTTGCCAAAGAGCCCGCTGTGCCATTGATTCCCCCTTTAAACAAAACCATTTGGCTAAACATTGCTAAGACTCACATTTGCTAAACATGTGGTTGAGAAGCGAAGTATGGCAATGACAACAAAACTCTCTTCATATGAAGCCATAAGCTGCCTATTGCTTGGAGCAATATAAGTGGCAGCCTTGGAAACACAGGGGTCAATTTGCTGCCATAGGGAATAGAGAACAGTTAACGCCTCTGCAGTGGAATGCAGGATTCTTTGCAAGGTTGACGAATGGATTTGTGAATCAAGTACGAGGTCAGTCAACGGACAAGCTTATTACCTCTTTGATACTCCATACTTGTGTTCTGAAAGGCAATACCAACATGCTCCATTTGAGTAGCTGACTTTAACTAAGATATCTTTGAAATCATATCACCATTAGCAATTCTTTTCATTAAAAAGAACAAATGTGAAATGAAACTTTGTTGATAATGACATATAATTCAATTATCTCTTAAACGTAAACATCAGAAATCAAGTTTCAAATTATTTTCACACATGGCAACAGTGCTGCTCTTGTGTGTCAAAAATCTTATTTCATCGAGAGTGTCAGTTTTTTCAGTTTTAAAATATATAATAGAAAAACCATAACGTGATGTTGTACCGAAGAACGAATTTGTAAACAACTGCTTTATATTCACAAAAAGATAACTCACGACCTTCGATAACAACACGTGCCCAGGTATAACACGAGCCAGAACCCAGAAATCTGAAAAGAGCAGGTATAAAAGCAGAGATAAACATTTTGATTTACATGTCGTAGTCAAGACTCTTCATCTCTGTGCGTGAGACCAGTGAACAGATCTATAAAAGCAGGGGGAAATTGCCAGGAGTGTGGGGCTTATGGCACCCTTCTGGCAAGGCACAAGATGTTCGCAGGGCATTTTAAAACTTTGACAAAGCAACATTCTTAGTCAATCTCCGGTTTATAATTTGACGGGAATGCTTATTCGTAATATAAACATTGTAAGAGTAGCGAAAAACTTGCAGCTTGAAAGGGAAAAGGAGCAAGGCGGAATGAGGAAAGATAGAACGTGGGAAGGGAGCGAGAGAAAAGGTGGCAGGAGAAAAAGGGGCAGGAGAAAGAGGAGAAATAGGGGCAAGAGAAGGGGCAAGAAGGACCTGGAACGGAAGCCAAAGTGGGGATGGAAAGAGACAACAGGGAGTACAAGGAAAAGGGCCAGAAGGATTGGGGCAGCAGGGAAGGAGGCGACAGGGTAGCTGCTAAAAGAGAAAATGCGGTTGTTCTAAACTTTAGAAAAAAGTAAACTTTAAACTTTAGAATCCAAAGTAAGATAGAAATTAGCGGAAGTTGTGACAACATGAACGCGGAAAGAGATCGGCACTGGATTACATCAACCCTCTTTCCTTTCTATCAAAAACTTTGTGCAGAAGCAAAAGATCATTCTAGCATGTTGTACATTTTGAAATGCGAAAAACAAGCCATTTCTCAAAACCGGGCTCCAATTGCGAAATAAATTAGTGCAATGGAGGCTACAATAGTGAAATAAATTTATACCACCCCCTCCGACTAAGGCCCTCTGACGTCATTGCAGAAATGACGGCTTGATATTGCTAAGCTCGTTGCGGAGGAGATAGCTGTTTCGTGCTGCTCGCGAGGTGCTGTCCGAGTGCTGTCTGGGACCGGAAGCCGAGAGTGTTTTTGCCTCTTGATTATTGGAATTCTTGTGGTCTTCTGCAATGTTGCTATTCCACAGCATGGCTTTCTAGGTCACGCGTTCATTGTTGTTTAACCCAAATTCCGAACATAGAAAGCGAGATCAAGAGATGTGGAGGACAGTCTCGCCCGCCCCTGCTATATAACTTGGAGCAAGGTCATGATCTACCAAATTATGCTCTGATTTGAGGTAAGTTTGAAAATGCTATTGCTACAATTGCCAAAGGTATGCAAGATCTATTTCTAGAGTAGTTAACGGCCTGCAAACAATGGTTTACTGATACTTCAAACGGTAGATGTCTTCCACATACATACTTTATGAAACAAATGTCGATTGCAGTAAAACAAAAGTAATTGGCATAGAATAAGAATTAATAGTTCACGCTAATAAGAACACTTTATATTTTTGGATCCGCAGCGGAATTATGGTTGCTACTGTAACCGTATTGTGCGCAACATGAAATAGGCAGCAACCACTAGTGGTAGCAACACCTATTTGTTATCAGTATCAGCATCAGTTTTAGGTTTGAAGTATAGCCCCGTGATCACATGCAAACACTGGTGGAGGGTGTCAAGGGAGTGCTTCCAAAAACATGTCACAAAACCACGCCGTTAAGAGTGTTCCAAGCACCTTCTCGATATACTTGCAGCCTTTGCTATTCAGCTCTGAAAATAAAGTGGGGTAGCTTCCTCTAACTTGGATTTGGATAAACAATGATCGAATATGGCTCGATCCCTGTTTTCACGAGTTTGTTTTTCGACCCTTTCTTGTTTATGATGTCTAAATAGCAAAACTACGCAAATTTGGTGCATGCTCTTGTAGACCTATCGAAGCAAGGACGAGCGTGTAAAGTTTCTCAATCATTGAGAGATTCTATCTATAAATTTCTTTATAAACGGCCTTTTTGTCAATAACGTGTATGATGCCTCTACTTTTTGGTGTTGTTGTGTTCGTTATTGATACATTGCAATCAGGGACGTTGGAACCAGGGAGGCACTAGGGGTAAGAGCCCCAAACGTATTGAAGAATGTCCCTTTTCTCCGCAAAAAGAAAAGGATTTCCAAGAGGTTTCAGATAAAACAATAGGATTTTACCAAAACTGTACAAGATTTCATAGAGTTTTTTGCTCATCGGTGTGTATCACTCTCTCTTTGCCCCTTCAAATTTGAAATGCCTCCAATACTTTAGATTATAGTTCATTTGCAAGTGGAATTCTTAAAAGAAGAAGTCGGGTTTTGACCTTCCAGCGTGAAGAAGTTGCTTTTAAATAGCAAATAACTCCGAGAGTCAGCTGATGTTTGAGAAGGCAACATAACCAGACCACAGAATAGAAATAAGGCAGAAGGGACAGTCGCGTCGGCACCTTTGTTGTTTAGTGGGCACGGATTCCTGACATTCTCCACCTCTAAACTCGTTTTCAATTTCGCGGTTCCGAGGTAACGTTCAGAATGGCGACCAAAGAAAACAGCGCGCGTAGAAGCTTCGGGTTTTTAAAGTTTGAAATTGAGTTGGTAAATGGCATGGGATCATTCAGAAAGCACGAGGTATGTCATTTGTGATTAAATTTCGATGATTTTTTAAATTTTAGCGAATTCTAGCTTAATTGTGTTATACAATTCATGCTCCGTCCGATGCGATGAAATATAACGATATCACCAAGAAAGGAACAACACAAACAACGATGAGCATAAAATATGAAGAAGGACGATGACCCTTGAAGCGAAAGTTTATTTAGCTTTGCAAAAATTATTAAATTCTAGACAATATTTCACTCCACGCACGCTTTATTCTAAAATTGATGAGCTATCATCTAGTAGAAGTGGAGGGCCCATATGATATGGTTAGCATTAGTCATTAACAAACATGGTATCTTGTTCTAAAAAGAAAGGGGCATGGCCCTTTCTTTGGCTCAGCCCCTGGTGAATGAGGGCAAGAAATTTCCCAGTTTCGCCCAATGTCAGGGCTCATCAGTACAGCTAGAACAAACACTAGTAACATTTATGATTTCATAATGTCGTCAGTGTGTCAGCTGTAGACCGGAAAACTGTTGTTAGTGAATTTTTTAAATCTTTTAATTGGTACAAGATAATAAAAGGTTTTATTTAAAGTTAAAGGAAACAATTTAAAAAGCAAATGGGTCATGGATGATTTTCTTCACCGTTACCCTGGCTTGGGAGGCTAAAGAGGTAGTTTGCACTTGCCCACAGTACAACCCCAAGGCTAGCAGAGGGAAGGAGGCACCTCAGGTCTCTTTTGTTAGATTCATTGACCTAACCTGCATACCCAAAAGATAACTGATAAAAGAAAATATAATATGGCATAGGATAATGGTGTTAAGAATTCAAATAATGTAAGGCTTTGTGAAGATGCAAAGAAGTTCTGATCTACAGATGGACTATTTTTAAATATTTTCTATTTTTTCTTTTTGATGACTTTAACTCTCTGTTTGCAAATTTTAAGCAATAATATATACGCATTCTAATAAATAACATAAGAAGATATTTTTTTGCAAATGAAGCACATGGTTGTTGAAGAGTGACTCTATCCAGGATGTCAAGAAGCTCATTTCCAACTCCTTTTGTTTTCTTTAGGCTGGAAAAGTAGCCTACAAATTGATCTTCCAATTCAACAACGTACTGGAGCATACTTTCAGAGGGCACTATCAGTCCTCCATGAGAAGAGGAATTTGCTTCATAAGATTTAAAGTGCAGAAAAGTATGTCTGATGTTGTTAGTGGTATCATTCACCACAGCCTTTTCACAGGTATCACATTTATGTTTATTAAATGTTTTCCTCAGTAAGTAGCCTGCCACATAGGCGATAGCATTTTCACTTATAATATGGCTCTGAATATTATCTGTCCTGTAGTCTGGTGATATTAATTGCAATGCATTAGACTGCAAGTGGATATCATTGCGTGCAATTTCATTAAGGACAGATAAGTTTGTTAGAGGCTCATCTTTGTCTTCCTCACAATTGCCACTGGCAACATGTAGCAAATTTGAGTGAAAAAGCTTTCTGTAAGCCCTCTTGAACTGGACAGGGGTAGGATTATCATTGTTACCACCTTGCTGTCTTATAGAGCCAAAGAAGTTTTCAAGAGGATCTTGATTTAGTTGCCTGGTAACTAAAAAAGATGCAATACCTTCATGGTATAATTTTTCCCACAGGGACAAAATAGCCTTTAAAGAGACTTTCCAACCTGTCAAACACTTCAAATTGTCTGTTCGATCTTCACCTGTGGCTCTGTTAAAAAATTTCAAGGATGAGAAGAACCTTATTCCTTTTTTTAGCTCTGACAGATGTGGAGAGGTAGGAGAGAAAGGCCTGCGACAAAACTTTGGATCCCGGAAACTAAGTGAATTACAGCAATCAAAGATGGTATCCATTTGAGAAACAAATTGTGCAGTGCCAAGAGCTGTGTCTGGAAGACCATTTAATGCCACATAAGTGGAAATACCTGCAGCCACAGAGTGGCTAAAAACTTGAGATGCAAGTTTAACTTTCATCTTCAAAAACCCATTTAGGTTTAAATGCCTGTCAGTCAGTTTAGGAGCAACCCTGATTGGTAGCTTCTGGTCTTTCTCAAAGAAGGATTTTATGTCATTCCAGCTTGCAACTTTCCCATCAAATCCAACATCATATTTCATCAAGTTGTTCCTGACAGATTTCAGAAGGTGGGGAGGATCAAATATTGTAAAATACTTCTTTCCTTGCATATAAAAGAAAGGACGATCTTCAGTGACACCAAGTGTCTTAAACAATTTTAAAAAATTAGAACCCTGATCAGACACAACAGAAACAACATCTAAACCCAATGACTCCAAATTATTTAGAGCTTCAGCAAGGATTTTTTTCAACTGGCTACTTCCACTTGATTCATTTACAAGAAAATATGCAATTGGCTGCTTCCAGTTGAAAAGGACACCTCTGACCATTAGAACAAGTGCAGAAGTGGCAGGAAGACCTGAACTTTCTCCACTACCATAATCTTCCAAACCTACAATGTGGTCATTAGATATGTCATAGAAAAGATGACTCTTTAGAGACATTTCATCCATCATAAGAGAACATATCTTTGCACTTTCAGGGATTGAAGCTATCCTTTCCTTTACCACATAAAGAGATTTCTCTGAGAAACCAGCTTCAGATGCAAATCTAGAGACCATTCGAGTGAGAGTTCTTTTGGTAGGTAAATGGAACAATTTAGCAAGAAATCTATATGATTTCCCGCTGATGTGGTACAAATTGAGTGCCCATGCTTTAAAAGCATCATCATATCTACAACCTTTTGGTTTCTGAGAGGACAATTTGATTTGGCATTTAAGAAAATTATGAAGTTCAGGAGAAATAACTCCATCTAGTAATTCCAAGGCCTTCATTGCACGCTTCTTGTTTTTCTTAAGGGGGGAGGATGAACAGAGATTCTTTCCAAATGACAATTTCTTTGATAAAAGGGCTATTTTGTTGCGTTTTTTCTTCAAAAGGGATCTGAGTTTTCTTTTCCTTGGGGTGTTGATAGTAAATTGAGCAGGGGTTTGGGAAAACTGACAATATTTGTTATTTTCTCCATTTGTTGATGAAGGTGACTCATCTTTCCCTAAAAAATACAATGATTCAACAGAGATGTCAGTAGTCAGCAACAATCATATTAGGCCATTTTTAATTAAAATGTCTGCAAATAAAATATTTGATAATTAAGATTTATGAAAAGCAGCTTCTTAAAAAAAATATAATTGTACTTGCTTTGATCAGCAGCCTCTATAGGTGTGCTATCCTCTTCAATTTCATCAGGGTTACCTAACAAAATGCAGAGTATACATTTGCAATCTATCAATCATTTCATATTTGAAAAAATAACAGTAAAGTTACAAAATGCGAAAAAACGGAATTACATTCAATATTTCAAAAAGTGCAAACAATAAGATACCAAAATTTATGATGTAGATTTTTGTTGCAGAAGTTGATTAAGAAAATGTCAACACTTACATTTATCAAATCTATCACCAGTTCCATAGTTATCCAGGTCCAATTTTTGTTTTTTTGAAATACCTAAAAACACAATAAAATGCTTGTATAGGTAAAACAACCCTTTTCGGTCAGGAACTCTATTTTTTTGCAAAATAGCTATAGTGTTGAGACAATAGGCTAGCAAAGACCATAAAAAAGGAAAAAATACAAACAAATTTTAGAAGTAATTGAACTAAACTTACAAGCTCATCTTACGTGTTTTACAACATATGAAGGAATATTTGTATGTTTACCTGGTTGTCTTGGCTTTGGGGGGGCTCTTTTACTTCCAACTATTGGCGGGGGATTTGGGACATCAAAAAGGGTGGGGATTGCATTCTTTGATAATCGGGACCTTGCGTTAACGAATTTTGGCAAAAATTCCTTTTCAAAATGTTTGGAACAAACGTAGCAATTTTTGTTCAAGTAGGCGGTTGACTTGTTAAGCAGATCCTGTCGCCTGCTATTTTGTACCCATTTTCTGCATCTATAAAGTAAAAAAGATCTTTTAATCAATAAATATGAATTAATTTCTTTAAAAAGTTCGAGTGTTTTACGTTGAAACAAGAAGATCCTGTTGAAGCGAATTAAATTTAGGCCTACTCACCGGCTTTCGTCCGATGGGAAACGGTAGAACTGAAGATTGGGGCATGACTTTCTGTTGTTATTGCAGTTAACAGCAGCGCAGTAAGCACCAGTCCCACTACGTTTAACATCCTTCACAAGTTTCGTCTTAGAGGCCAGCATTTTAAGCGATCGCGAAGTTCCAGAAGAAGGAGAGTTTACTACTTGCGTGAATATTTTCCGGGAATGTTCCACCTCTAACCTCGTTTTCAATAACGCATGCGCGAGAAAATCAAAGCATCTATTATCAAAGCATCATTATCAAATATGGAAGTTTCAGGTTATTACATGGTTAACGACATGAATTAAAAATTGGGGGGGGGGCGAGAGATAATGCAGAGGCCAACGAACCTGTATAACAGCCCACAATCTTGTAACTGTACAGTTTTTAGCTAACAAAAACAATGGTCCGTACCTTTCAGCGTTTTGTCAAAAACAATCTCTCTGAATTTCTCCAGACCGCTCTCATTGGATGGCATCTTTGCGTCTTTCAAGGAACATTTGATGGAAAACGACGGGATGTTCAACATGTCTTGAGGTAATCGGAAAAGTTCACTGATGCTCTTTTCTTCCGCATTCCCGTAATCGACGAACCGGACTGTTACATTTGAACCGGTCTTCTTCTCAACTACCGCTCGATACGGTGCCTGGTCTTCTGAGAAAATAGCAATGTATGGGAGCCCGGGTTCTACAGTTTGGATACCGGCTTTTTCCTTTGGGACTTCTTCAAGCTTTTGCATGAGCTCGTCAATCTTATCGGTATCTGAAGCGTCTTGAATGTATATTTCAGATAGAGAGTCTACATGTGTGACGTAAAAACTAATCTCGACACCTGTCTTGGGCTTTGGAAGAGGCAGTCTTGCACTTGCTGAATTCCTTAGAGGCTGACGTACATCTCTCTGAGGACCAGCGGGGGAGTTCTTCTGCGTTGCAAGTTTTGAGGTTAAGGCCATGCCAGATTCATCACGAAGCTCGACCAGGTATTTCCCACCCTGTTTCGCCTTCACAGCCATACTGATTACCTTGTCTCCAGTCAATTGCAGTAGGAGATCTGCCGCATTATCTTTCCACATTAAATTGCCGTCGTCTATTGAGCATAGAAGGGCGTGCTTTGGTTGCTCTAGAAATTCCGATGCCGATTCTCGTAATGATGCCATCTTCACCTCTTCGAAATTGCCGTAATCTACAAAACGAACTCGGGCTGAGCCGCTTCCACGTGCATCCTCGATTTCTCCGCGATACCATCCATTGTCTTCACTAAACATGGCACAAACTGCTTTTCCGGTTGTCACAGATGAGACTTTTGGCAAATTGTTGACCTTCTTTGCGATTTCATCCATTACTGAAATAGAAAAAATCTTGAACTGTGAAATTGACATGGGGAGAGAAAGAAACAGCTAACAACTCCAGAAGGTTTATGCTGAATAATTGCACTCTGTTCAAAATCCCGTTGCACTGAAAAATTATTAGACACGCAATTCTGAGTTACAGCTAAAAATGTAAAGTTATCACAAATCGATATGATCTTAAACTGCAATAATTCAGATCAGAATGGTCAGAAAATGCAATAATTTTGTCTATTAGCCTTTGGCTTTTTGGTTTGTAGTTAATTTTTAGTTTGTAAGCAACTCAGTGCTGAATAGGCACTAAAGAAAGGTTGCAAATTCTGACGTGACTTTGGTTTGCTATCCTTGATTTGGCTGTAACAAACATATATATATATATGTAAATAAAGCCGCAAAATGTTTCTGCAATACTCACAGGCATACAAATCATTCTCTGTTCGTGTCAATTGACAGTATATGTTACTCATGCCATTAATGTGTGCCACGTAGACGCTTTCCACTGCGCCAACATCTAACTTACGATTGTTGTACCCCTGGTTTTGATTTGACGAAGCTGCTGCGATCCCAATACCTTGACCAAGAGCTGTCTCAGCAAGGCTTTTTCCATCTTCGAAAAGCGAGACTTGATATGGGGGTTGTTTTGTATGAAACTTGGCGCTGAGTACTTTGTAATCGAGCATTGATTTAAATCGATCGACGCTGGATTTTTCCCAGTTTCCTGATGTAGATGATATCTGCAAAACAACAGAAATATTCATCGATTCTCAAAGGAAGGGGGGAGGTTGGTTTTGGAACAGAGAAACTCTACTTATCGAGAAGACATTCTCTCAAAATGGAGATAGCGAGATTAAATCCCCTTTCTCTGGCCAACAGAAATACTTTGAACTAGAAAGTGTTCCAAGAAAGACCTGCAACTCCCTTTGCTTAACATTCAAGCTACGTTGGATAAGCGATTCGAAATCTCTGCGTTCTGAAGTGTCGAGCCTTGTCTGTCTGGCACTTTGCAGTTTTGAAAAGGGGAATTTTCCGTTTTTGGTAACACCCATTATATCATTAAGAGCAATGGTTTAGATTATTGCATGGAATTTAGGGTAACTGAATATATCATGTTAAGACTATAAATACATTTTATTTATAACAATCATCATTTTTCAGTGAATTATAGCCCCATTACGTCTTTAATTTTCATAAACTTATGAATGGTTCTGTCTCTAATCAATTTTATGTTCCTTCCCGACATTAGAAGTAGCAAAATCAAACCGTTTCTTAACTTCAACTCAATTTTTTAATGAAAACGAACTTGGTTCAAAAGAAGATTTAAGCAAAAGTTCTACCCTTATTCAATCAAAGACCAGATTCGTATCAAACGAAACACTGCTCACAACACTTCTCTTATGGCACTAATAGACAATGTTTGGAAGAAACCAACTGGCAAAACAAAATAAACAGTTCTAATGATGGGTTTTTCCACCTCGTGAAACAGTGAACGAGTCCAACTTAACGATGGGAATAAATTTTTGTTCCCTACGTTTCCCCTGTTGTCAAGGCCCCAGAAAGAGCCTTTAAGGCAACAGTAACTCCGAACATGAGAAAAACTCTGTCCTAAAGGCATTCACTATATTGATGCTGTATTGTACGTGTTAAAAAGCCATGGCATTAGAATAAACAAACCAATCACCTACCCCAGCTAACGAACAGTGTAGACCATAGGCCGCATCTTTCAGGAATTCCCCCTTCAACTCTTTCAAATCATTCAATGCAACCACCTCGCAGTTCCCGTAATCAATGTACTGAACTTCAACTTTCGCTCTATCGACAACTTTTACGATCCTCGCTCTGTACCAGGCCCCGTCTTCACTGAACTTTGCCGCACAAAGGCTTCCTTGTTTCGGTGACGTCATCTTTAAATCATTAGGCCCAATATTCACGTATGTATCTTCCAATTTTCCCATTAAAATCTCCACTTTTTCGGCTGCAGATGTTTGCTGTAAAATAACATGTTTTATTGAAAGTTGCAAAAAATACCAAGATCTGCTGAGTGATACTCCTCTAAGCCCAAAAAACAAAAAGAATGAAATCAAGATCCTTTTGGTCTAAAGCCATTTAGGCCGAAAGATCTACCAATATTTAAACTTCATCCTTATCACCTACATCGAATAATATAGCACATGGTTCAACTTCTATGTGCTCAAAATAATAGACTCTAACACAAGCCGTTTCTTTGCGACACTTGCTTCAATATCTTCGTTATAAACATTATAAATTTTGGATTAGCTAAAGAAAGTGGCATTTGAAGCAACTTAGCATCACCATTTACAGAGTTCCTTTACTACCGAGCATCGAAATTCCCGATACATCCAGGGTCGTCACAACTAAATACATAACAACAACAGAGAGTATATTAACAGTTGCCTGATGATGGCACCAGTCGTAAATTCAGAGTAGCAACTGAGAACCATCCTATTCTATACAACAAAAGCGAATTTCTTTTCTAAGCGGTTTTCTCGCATATGAGAATAGCAGCCCAGAACTGTCTATCGTTCAAACCAAACTTTTATCGATTCTTACAAAAAATACACAAAGAAATCATTAACGGTGCAAGAAAATCACCTGACAAAAGAACGAAGATGGGTTCTCGACAAACGTGATCTCAACATCTTCTTGTTCTTTGACATTGACAGTTGGGATCTCTGATGAAGAACCTTGGACAGGCCCACCTGCAGAGCTAGCCGCACCCACAGAGCTAGCTGCACCCTGGGTTGGAGCAACGGCCTGTGCAAAACCTTTTTCTATCAACAATTCCGCGATACTTGTTTGTTTTTCTCGATTAGTTAAAGTGTCCAGTAATTCGACGTGATGTAAGTTGCTTTTGTCTGAAAAGAGAAGTCTACGATTCATTTTTGAAGACAAAATCATCTTGAGCAATACGATAAGGTTACGTATGACAAAAACATACTTAGATTAGAAGAGCAAAATATATGCTTGAAGTTATTTCTAAGAAGAACGATATCCCGAACTCATTCAGCATCATCGAAACTGGAAAAAATAATACTAACAACTTATACAGAAAACAAAGATAAATAAGGAAAAATAGTAACAATTGCATATTACATATCTGCAAATAACGTTTTTCTATTCGAAACTTCTCAATTCTGAAAGTGAGATTATCCGTATTACAAAAATTACTATAATGCCATTTGACTGACCAATATAAGAAATTGAAAATCAAGAACAGCAAAATTCGATTCAAGCTTCCGGAAGGCCCATTCTGAAGAGATTTATTTTATATTGCCTTTTTCTGTTGAAATGATATCATATTTAATAGTGCCGGACACCTAGAGGGCGAGGGGGAGATCGCCCCCTCCAAATATTTTGGACGGCAATGGTGATTTTTTTTTTAAAAAATGGGAAAATTTGACGCAACCTTATCAAAACAATAGACTTGTCCCTCACCCAATATTTGACCAAGGTCCGCCCCTGATACTATGCATTACGTCACTTTTGTTATAACACGCATTGTCAAATCTAGTCTATCTCAAATCTAGAAAAATATGCGAAAGTAAATGGTTTCAAAATTCTTGTAAGGAAACAAAGCGCAATGATGTTTTTCCTTTAAAAAAATACAACCTGATTTTATAGCCAGGACTTTTGTACTACAGTAAAAGCTATATCTTCAGGGGCAAAAAGGTGGCCCCCTTTGGAAGAGTCGCTATTTCAGTGGTCTCCCGCTTATGCCTGTGGTTTTCCCAAACGGAAATCTGGCGACAAGGGTAGATATTTCCAGTAAAAACTTGGGTGCCCGAAGTTACCCTGTGTTATAATAAGCGGCCTCCCGCAGATAAAAAACGGTCGTCCCGGGCGCGAGGGAGACCGAATTGTCCATTCCTGTTCTTTCAGCTGGGAAAGCAATTTGGATCCATTCTGCTGATCTGAATATTTCCATTTCATGATATTCGGTTTAATCTTATATCCACAAAAACAGGTGTTCACCAAACACTAATTAGGTTTAAAGCTGTATCTAGATTTGCGACTGGCCTAACTTGGAAACTTCTGTTTGTTTAGAAATTACTTGTCTGGGAATCTTGCGACTGTTGCAAAATAAATCACATCATCGGAACCGAAATTCAATGATATCGTAAGAAACAAATTGATTCGTTTATAATGACCATTATACACTGAACATTCTTAACCGAAGGAGTTCGGATGCAATGGTTAATTCAACGCAAATTAAGTTTAGGTGAAATTCGCTGGATGTGAACCTTTAGCAAATTAAGGTTGCAGAGATGCGTGTACCCGTATTCCATAATAATACCCTACTGGGGTCTATTGCTGGGAAAAAAGAAGGGGCACTCCCAAAAATTTTCAAAAAAATTCTCACAACGGGCCTTTTCAAGCTATTGTATTTATGATTTTTAAAAAACCTGCAAATTCAAAGCTGAATAACTTTCTTCAATAGGATCGGGCAATAAAATGGCAACAGAAAACCAATTAGCAGAACTTGGTGCAGAACTTCAGGAGAAGGGCGTTATAATATGTCCACAGAAACCGTTTCATACTTTGCCTCATTCCCTTGTTAACCTTTCAACCACAAATCCTAATCAATTTATAAACTTCAAAAAAGAACCAGGTTTTTATTTATATTTTCAATTTTCCTACTCTTGATAAATATTTGAAAACAATTTAAAAACCCAATTTAAGAACAGACAGAAAGGCCATCAAACTTTAAAATTTTGATAATATTGACATTCCGGATTTTCTGACGACTTCTGTTTTTGGTTCAAGGTTCAATTTTGAGTTTATATACTTGCATACCTTTTCTCTTGACCAAAACGATCAACTGCTTTTCAACGACCATATTGGAAAACTCAGTTATACAAGCTTTTGACCAACCACTGCTGTCTTTGGGTCTGACGTCACCAAGCGAACAAACAAAGGCCTGCGCTGGCAATGACATAAACTTTGCATACATTGGTCTGATGTTGTCACGTGAGACTGTTTCGTTGTTACCATAATCAACATAGCTGACGTCAACCTGTTGGCCTACTGCACGTACCAAAACTGCCCTGTACCAAAGATTGTCAACTGGAGGAGAGGAGGAAGAGAATCAAGACACTAGCTCACTTAAATAAACCATTGCTAGGGCAACTGAACTTATAAGGCAAACTGGAGATCAATGGGATTCTTTGGGGGGGGGGGCAACCAGCCCATTCTTGAAATAAGGTTTACCAGGTTTCTTTAGAAGTGAACAAAATTTTTTGGGTAGTGGCTGTATTCTTTTTTTAAATATTTATCTGTTTAAAGCAGCATTGATAGGAAGGTGTAATACTGAGATCAAACAAATGTAATTCTTTCTGTAATATCAACAGGGCATGGTTTCAACAATTTGTGGCTCAGCTTTTACTGCTACAGTCTCTACTCTGGAAACTATGGAATTTTGCTACCATGTTCAACTACCATATTCATACAGATATACAAGAAACTGTTATCCTTAATAAAAGAACAACAATAATACTCCAGTTTCTTTTTACACCCTGAACCTAAGAAAATCATACAGGACCCAACAATATCTTATTATTGTCAAATCTTTGTATGGTCTCTGCTACTATGAGTCACATAAAATTCTAATCCAAAATGAAAACAAATCAAACTATCTCCATTTTCATACCTCATTCCATTTATCCAAAGATTCAAAGAAAAGGTTAGTTAATTAAAAGGTTATTAGTGTGACAATCAACTGAGCCAAGTAAAGGTTAAAACATAAAAGACCTCTAACTCAAAAGAGCTTCATCTTTAAATAAGAGACCCATTATGTATTTGTGGAAGCCTGATATAAACAAACAAAAGGCATGTACAATACACTATCAGGCAAATTTTTTACAGAAGAATTGCAAATTCTGAATGCTGTTTCTTGGTACAAAATATATCACGCTGTCCTGGTGCAGACCATAATGATCCATGATTAACACACATACAACATGTAATGCAACACAAATCTCAAACTGTTACCTGGATATAAGGCAACACAAGGCATCCCGTTCCTCAACTGCATGTTCCTTGGTACCTGGCTATTTTTATAGGCATTTTCCAGCTCTGCCATCATATCATCAATTACATCAGATTTCTCAAAGAGCTGGCAACAAAACTGGTCTGGTGAGACAACACTTGTTGGCATCACATCTACATAGTCACCAATTGGAACTTCAACTTCTGTATATGGCTTATTGGTTACTGTCGGTCCAAGGTTTCCTAAAAAAGATAGCAAAATTTAGCTGAAACTTCCAATGAAGCAGGCTGCATATTGATAGGTACCATGTTAAAAAACTAAACAGGATATCAATACTGTTCAAGAACTTGGAAACAGAAATCAGATAAAATATATGATACAGAAACTAAATTCTAAAATTCAAAATCCATTTCAAAAGTATATACTGTTTGTTTCAACAGAAACTCTCTACCACACTGTACCTATTGTGCCTAATTTGTAAAATTATTTAAAACCATTAGAGAACCGGACATTTCCTTCACAAGAATATTCTAGTTCTTCACCCATTGATTAATGCAGAACTTTAAAGTGCTATACAATTGTTTACCCCTTAAGGTACACAAACAACTGGCCTGAAATTGTCGTATTTTTTATTTAGAAAGGATGATGATTATTGGGTGAGGAAGTGCAGAACAATAAAAGTGGAAGAAAAATGCCAAAGGGAGACCCAAGGAAACATGGAAGGAAGTAAGCAAGTCAGATCTGAAGCAAAAAGGTGTCACCAGAGACTTGGCAAAGAACAGACAGGTCTTGAAGTCAATTTTAATGAACCATCCAACGCATACCAGAATGTAAAATGGAGGTAAAACAGAATATGATGATGATGATTTATTTAAGTTCAATGCAGAAATGAAAAGCAAAGAAAGATAACAAAAAGCATACCTGTGAAACTGGATTTTGCCTGTGAAGCTAAGCCAGATTCAATTAACACCTCTGCTGCATCAAACCTTGCTACATTGCTGTCATTTTTTTCCACTAAGCTTACTTCTGCACAACCGTCAGAGTCAATTTGCATGATACTGATGGTAAACTCTTTGTCAATGACCATATCATTGAATTTCTTGCATGCATCTAGTGAAAAGTTGCCACTAGCAGGAATCTCAATTCCAGAAAGTTTGCACTTGAAAGCCTGCTTCGGTAGCTTTAGATACTCCTTTTTTAAATGTTTCAACTCGTCTGCTCTACATTGTTCATCATTTCCATAATCAACAAAGAATATCTACAAAAAAGCCAAAGAAAGTTTCACATTCTGACAGCTCCTTTCATAATCACAACTTCAATCATAATCTGAAAGTTGTTTGGTTGCCTTGGTTGCCTTAAGAACAGCCCTTTGATTTATTTCCATCAGAAAGTTCTTTGCTCGAGACTTAGGCCAGCAACTAGGGCTAGGAACAAAATAATACTTTTTCTGCTTCACAGATAAATATTGGGTATGGGAAAAGTTAAATTTGAAACACTTTAAGTAATTCGTATTGTATACCTGAAAAGTAACATATCATAGAAATAAATAAAGTTCATTGATTTCCACAAAAAAATGTTATTGTGTCTAACTTGGGGGTAAATATTAAGGTAAATAACCCTTTAGGGTGCTGATTTGAGGGTTTACGGTATTCAGGTATGCTCTGTTTCAAAACCAAAACACAGACAGACTGAAATTCTCAAATACACAAAGAGCAAGGTTAACTTTTTAAGAATTGCAAAAAGAAACATGCAAAATGTTTCCACAACAACAAGTGCATATTTGCAATGCTAAATATAAATGCATACATAATATTATTGATACCCATACCTTTGCATTCAGACCTTCAACTTTGACCAGCTCTGCTCTGTAGAACCTGCCATCTTCACTGTACCTTGCACAACATGGAGTTCCTGGTTGAAATATCTGCAGTTTCTGTTGTCCTGGCTTCAAACTGGCATACTCATTATTCAAATCATTCATCATGCTATCCAGGTTTGTAAGATTCTTCGCTACCTGGCAGCTAAAATCAAATGGTGATACTGCGAATGCTACATAGCCAACTTCAGCATCACCTGGGTTCAAACTCATACCCACAAAATGTAGCTGCACATTTGCTTGACCAACACTTTGTGAACTGAAGCTTCTTCCAGAAGATTCCTCTTTGCTTTTTTCAAATACTACTTTGCTTAATTTACCAAGCTCTTTGTTGACATTTACCCCATCCCTTGATTCTGTTGTGTCATAAATTGTTAAAAGGACTTTCCCTGAGTCCTCAACTGTATTTACAAGGCCTACTAAATCTTTATCTATGATCATGTCTTCAAATTTCTTTACAATTTCTTCATCAAATGCAGCTTCCTGGTCAGCTGGTTTGATACCACGGAGACCGCAATGGAGACCTATAACTGGGAGATTATGGAATTTGGTGAGTAATTCCTTTATCACTGAAACCGGGAACACTTCTCTGTGTCCGTAATCAACAGCCTGCACTTCACACCTGTTGCCCCCATGCAATTGCTTTATGGTGCCTCTATACCATCTTTTATCTTCTGAGAATTTTGCACAACAGAATTGGCCAACATTCATGTTTACCAGATTGAGACTGTCATGTTGGCTTGAGCTATAAAATTGCTGCAATTCATCATCCATCTGCCTGAAACTCTCCCTATACTGAATT